AGCAGGGCATGGTGGCATGCGCCTGTAGTCCCAGCTACTTGGGAGGCTGAGGCAGGAGAATCACTTGAACCTGGGAGGTGGAGGTTGTGGTGAGTGGAGATCACATCACTGCACTCCAGCCTGGGCAACAGAGTGAGACTCCATCTTAAAAAAAAAAAAAAATGCAAATAGAAATACCTCTTAACTTCATCCATGTAAGAGAAAGGTGAGTTGAAGTTACATCAGATAACACCTTTTACGTTTCAGATTGGCAAAGATCACAAAGTCTGATCAAATGTTTTGTTGATGGAGTTTGAGGGGAAACAGGCTTTCAGCCACAGCTGGTGGGAGTTAAAATTGGTTGAACCCAATGGAAGTCAAAGTAATTTACTACAGTGGTGTTTGTAATTGACCAAGGCTGGAAACAATCTACCATCTTTGTAATTGACCAAGACTGGAAACAATCTGTGATTGTTACCGGAAACCAGCTAAATACACAATGGTACCTCCACACAATGGAATATTCTGTACCCTGTAAAAGAAGGTACTACTGATAAGGAACCCTCTCCAAGATACATTGTTAAATGGAATAAATCAAGGAGCTGAAAGAATGGAAGGTATGGTACCATTTGTGTCACTTGGTTGCTCGTACCTGCATAAAATATTTCTGGAAAGGGGATATAAAGAAGCTAACACTGCACCTTCAGGGAGGGAAGAATAGAGAACGGAGAATACTTTGCCATATGCCCTTTGAACCATTTGAAGTTTAGACCTGTTTTTAAAGTTTAAACCGGCTGGGCATGGTGGCTCATGCCTGTAATCCCAGCACTTTGGGAGGCCAAGGCGGGCGGATCGTGATGTCAGGAGATGGAGACCACCCTGATCAACATGGTGAAACCCTGTCTCTACTAAAAATACAAAAATTAGCTGGGTGTGGTGGCACATGCCTGTAATCCCAGCTACTCGGGAGGCCGAGGCAGGAGAATCGCTTGAACCAGGTAGTTGGAGGTTGCAGTGAACTGAGATCGCACCACTGCACTCCAGCCTGGCGACAGAGTGAGACTCCATCTAAAATAAATAAATAAATAGATAAAAATAAAGTATAAACTAAATAAATAAAAGTAAAGTATAAATCAAACAAATAATAAGATTCGATATTCCATGAAGGTTAATATTCCATTAAATGTTTAAAAACAAAAACAAAAAAGACAGCAACTTGGGAGGCTGGTGCGATGCCTATCCCTCTGTAAACTGGCCTCCTCCCTTGCAGGAGTACATAGCTCACTGCACACAGGAGTTGACTCTCACCAAATGGCAGACGATGCAAACCAAAATGTGACCCAGCAGAAAGGCAGAGCCCGCCAGCCTCTTCCCAGAGCCCAGAGTCCCGCCCGGCCCAGCGGCCACTCACCCTCCACAGTTTCCTTCGTCCTGATCGTCTCCTCTGAAATGTCATTCGACTCAATCATCTGCAAAAAGAGCCCCTGTAAGGGGGATGCTCGCCTCTGCCCCTTGGCCCCAGCCCCAGCCAGTACAGCAAGCACACCTGCAGTTTGCACGCCCTACCCCTACAAAGGGGGACCTCAGTGACGGACTCAGGGACTTGCTGCGGTGGCAGGGAGTGCAGACATCCTCAGTCTGACCTCCCTGACAACAGAGGACCCCCACTCTGCACTCAGCTCCGCTGAAGGCCGCTCGTGCAGCTTACACATGAATACCTCCTACCCTTGCTTTGTTGAAAATGTTTATTATATTTAAACAGATGGCTCCTTCCCTGCAATGCCTACAGAAATTTGTCCTGGGAATTCGTTTCTCTGTCTCTGAGACAAGACTTCTGGACTCAGTTTCCCATCCATCAAACAAACATTGGCTGCTTTGGGTTAGTGTGTGCACAGTGTGCTTGGGGCCACCTCCTGGAGGGACTTCATTAAATGCTAGCTTCTTTCTCTCCAACACTTCTTTTTAATAATAAACTCAGAGGCCAAAGAAGAAAAGACCGATTAAAAAAAAAAAAAATCAGCCTGGCACACATCACTATGACAAAAGTCAAAACACAACCAGTAGGCTCCCTGCCACTCTTGGCAGGAGTTTCCAGTCTCCTGCCCAGGCTGGCTGTCCTCTGAGCCAGCCAGAGTCTGCCACTGCAGATCAGGGCAGCACAGAGCTGAGTAGGCAGTCACCTCCATCATCCTGCCCCTCATACTTCTGTTCATACATCCCAAGTCCCATTTGAGTCTCAATTAGTTGTAATGAACTAAGCCCCTTGGATCATAATTTATATATGATGCAGTAATGAGGAACACACT